ACCTTGTGCTTTTAACATAAAACATACAGACATGAACTTAGATAAGTCACATTTTTAGAAGCTGAGACTTTGGTACACGTGTTGTCCACTTCAGCCCCCAAACAACTGCCCCAAAGTCTGGTTGGTTGGTTCACCAGCCCCTGGCTGGCTAAGGACAGGGCCCATCTGTCCCTGGTTGGGCAGATCCTTCCAAAGCCAGCAGCCCTCCCCAGGGAGACAGCCTGGAACAGACAGTGAACCCTGTTGTTCTTCTCTGGGGAGACAATGCTGTGAGCCCTGCTACCTGCCTGACAGGGCCATTGTGGCTGGAGAGAAAAGGGCTTTGTCAGGGCAACAGCAGAGGAGACTGGGATTCAATGGGGCCCTTTATGCAGTCCTGCGGCAAGGCCCCAGGCAGGCAGCCCAGAGGGCCCAGCCCCCTCCTGAGCAGATGAGGGCTTGGAACCCAGAGAAGGTCTAACCCTCAGGGCCTCCTACCACTGCCCTGACACCCGCCAATTCACCTGAGTCTCAAAAGCCCTGTGTCCAAGCACAGGCATACTCAGGACTGCAGGATGACCACTGGCCAGGACTTGGAAGCATATGGCTCCTCCAATCACAGGAACAGTTGAAAATAAAGGACACATGTGTGTACCTATTTTTCAGGAATAGGGGCACAGCTCTGGGACCCCCATCCCAAGCAGCCCCTTCCCTTACAAAGGTCAGGATGCTAAGCGATGCCGCCAGGTTCTGTGTGTCATCGCCACAAGCAAGCTCTTCCATCCCCTCCATCCCCAGGCACAGGTAACTGTGTGGGGCAGGCAAATATGTAAATTAGCTCAATTGTGGTAAATGTCTCACAACGTACCAAATCATCATGTTGCAGACCTTCAATATATTCAATTTTTCTTTGTCAATAATACCTGAACAAAGCTGGGGAAAAAACAAAAACAACACAAAAAAATCAAGTCCTAGGGAAAGACTCTGTCTCTCTCTCTCTTTTTTTTTGGGGTGGGGAGGCAGAACCGGGGATTGAACTCAGGCCCTTGGGCTTGCTGGGGAATAAGACTCTAAGTCTCTTATCCTGTATTCTTGGAACAAAAGCAATGGAGTACAGTGCAGCAGCCAGCACCAGAGCAGGCACTGCATTACAGCCCCAGGAGAATTTGTGCTCCGAAATGCTTGGGTAAGAGAAAAGGCCCATTCGCTTGTCATATCCTCCCTTACACATGTCTTCCTTAGCAGAAGACCATTTCCATCACGGGCAGCTACCCAGGTTCCTGCCACCCTGTGTCTTAATTCAGAGTGACTCGAAGGTGTTTGCCTCCAAAATGAGGGCCAGGTCTGAGGGTACCTGAAGACCCCTGGCTTCGACATGCTCTGTTTGTGATGCCTGCAAGCACCCTTTCTCCCCTGAGCTCCGCCCCAAGTCCCAGCCCTCACACCCTGTGGGTTCAAGCACACAGAAAGGGGCCGAAGGGCATCTTGTTATTTGACAGTTAATCAAACAGATCCCTGGCATAAGAATCTGAGAGAGTAAATAAAATCTGAGGGGCTGGGGAGATGGCTCAGTAGAATAAGCACTTGCCCTACAAGCACAAGGACTTGAGTTCAATCCCTGGGTCCACCAAAATAAATAAATAAATAAAATCTGAAAGGTAAAAAGAAGAAGAAAAGAAAACTGATCCCTATGGAAAATACATAATTTCTTTATAGTGATACCGAAAGGGAGAATAAGTCACACGCTGGGAGATGCAGTCGTCTGTGACCCAGCTGGGAGACCACCACTGGGATGGCACAGGGCAATGAGGTGGGGGACAGGATTGCACACCTGGGAAGCTCAGTCCCCACCTCACTCCCTCTCTCAGGGATAGTAAAGGCTTAAGTGACAACACCCAAAGAGGAGGCTCCACAGGTAACCCCCTCTGAAAGCTCCCTCCTACGGGACCATCACGGCCACAAACAATCCCTGCTTTCTCAGTCCCTGCCCACCTTTGCAGCCCAGGAGCAGGGATTTGTTTCAGTCTAAAACACCAGGTGGCCTCACGTGGTTGCTGACAGGGTGAACCTGACTCTGAATTTCAGCTTCCCAGCTGGGGCCTGACGCTAGCAACTTGATCATCTCCTGCCTCCTCTCCTGCCTCCCTGTCCTTTCTGCAAATAATAACAGTTTGTACCTCTCACATCCATGAAGATTACATGACCTGGAGCCCTGCAGCACTTAGAACTCTCTCTGGTCCACAGTGAGCACTCCATACGGGTTTTGATGGCCCCCTCTAACTTGTTTTTAATTTTTATCTAAAGGAACAAATCTACTTCGTCACAAGTGTGTGTGTACATAAAATCTAACACAGAAATAACTTACACGCTTGTATTATATAGACACATTTTAAATAGAAATTAGGAAAACAAAAAATTGATATCTGAATAGTTGATCTTCTTCTGTCTCTCCCACTACTGTTTGAAGCCCTTGGACCACTGCAGCCACCACCAGCATAACGTCCCAGAGCCAAAAGGGAACCAGCCACATACCTTCTCCTTTTTGCCACCGATCGTCCACATCCTCAGACTTGTCCTAGCACTGTTCAAACACAGTGGATTACTATGAAGTTCTAGGCGCGCAGAGGTGCACCTCTCCCGAGGACACCGAGAAAGCACCCTGGAAACTAGCACTACACTGGCACCCAGATAAAAATCCTGAGAATAAAGAAGTTGAGCAAAAACTCAAACAATGGTTGAGCCATACGAGGTGTTATCAGATGCTAAAAAAAAGGATATCTATGACAAATATGGCAAAGAAGGATTAAATGGTGGTGGAGGAAGGAGACGTCACTTTGACCGTCCATTCGAGTTTGGGTTCACATTCCAGAACCCAGAAGATGCCTTCAGGGAATTTATTGGTGGAAAGGACGCATTTCCATTGTACTTCTTTGGTAATGAAGACGCATTTAAAGACATTTTTGGGAACTGAAGGGGTCCCCAAGGAGGCAGAAGTCGTAGTACATGCTCTTTTTTCTCCACCTTCAGTGGATATCCATCCTTTGGAGGTGGATTTTCTTCATTTGATTCAGGATTTCCTTCATTTGGGTCCCTAGGTCATGGGGGCCTCACTTTTTTTTTTCATCCATATGGTTTGGCAGCAGTGGGATGGGTAACTTCAAATCTATATCAACTTCTACTAAAATCGTTAACGGTAGAAAATCACCACAAGAGAACTGTGGAGAATGGTCAAGAAAGAGTAGAAGTTGAAGAAGATGGACAGTTTTTTTTTTTTTTTTTTTTTAACCAGGGATTGAACTCTGGCCTTTGCACTTGTCAGGGAAGCGCTTATTCCACTAAGCCACTCCCCCACCCCCTAAGAAGATGGACAATTAAAGTCCTTAACAATAAATGGTAAGGAGCAGCTGCGCTTGGATAACAAGTAATTCAATGCACACATTTAACAGAAATGTTTAACTATAAAAAGCAGCATTTGAAGATTAACAGGAACTTTTTTTTTAAGATTTCGGATGAATTTAACTTTCAGTATAACTGTATCTAATCTAAAGTATTTATAAACAGCTCATTGGAGCCCCTCTTTGTCATAGACTTTTTTTTTTTTTAGAACTGGGGTTTGAACTCAGGCTCTTGTGCTTGCCAGGCAAGCGCTTATTCTACTGAGCCATCTCCCCAGCCCCTGTCATAGACTTTTGAGTTTATTGTGTGGTCCTACCACACAGTAGGGCCATTTTTTTTGTCTTTAAAATTGTTGCAATCTCTGTATGCACTTTGCTTTCTTATTAAATGTGATCCAAGGTAAGCCTTGTTTTGTTTTGTTGACTCTTGAGTAGTGCTAGGACAGGACTGTACTCTACCACCAGCGTGGATCTGCTTTCCATTGTGTTTGAAACGTGAGCCAAGTAGCGTCCGCCTGCTCTGAAGCCAACATTGCCAGGACGGGTCTTCCACAAAAAGTTTCCATTTTTCCCCTCCATATTTAGTAATGAAAGATGTGCGTTAATGGTAATACATTTCCAGTTCAATACAAATTTAAGGCCGTTTTCTAGTTGTACGTGGATGCTGGCAACTTAGTAAAGTTTTGACAATTGTTTAAATGTGTAATGTTAAGCTTAGGCTTATAAAAGCTGGTAAACTGGGTCTCCGTCTTTTGCTTTAAAAACAAAAACGAAACAAAACAACAACAAAAAGAAAATAAAGCTCCTGGGGGAAAAGGAACAATGTATTTTTTTGAGACTGGGTTGTGCTGTGTGGTTCAGGCTGGCCTTGAACTCACCGTGTTTCCCTGAAAATAAAAGCCACTCAGAAAACAACCAGCCTTACTAGAGATCAAACACGCCGGTCCCCGCCCCCCAGCGTAGCCCTGCCTTCCCGGCATCCTTATTCTCTTGTTGGGTGGCTGATAGGCTGATCTGTAGGACAGGTAGGGCAGGGCTGCTGCGTCAAACCCGGCGGGCGAGTTTGATCTCTAGCTTTCAAGGCTGATTTTTTTTTGGCCTTATTTTCGCGGAAGCAGGTGAGGTGGTCCAGGCTGGCCTTGACCTCTGCAGTCCTCCCGCCTCACCTTCCCTTAGCATTACAGGTGGGTGCCACCGCACCCAGCAAGCCGACTCATTTTGGTCTCCAAGGACTGCATTTTTTTCAGTTTCCCAATCTCCTGTCACTCACTCCACAGGATGTGTACTGAACACTTTGGGGCACCCGCTGCCCTGCTGTGACTGCCTTAGTGCCAGGCACAGATCGGACCTCTGGGTTGAGCCAGTGAATAAGGCAGAGGAGCGGGGAAGGAGGGCGGAAAGCAGTCAGGTTCTCCGACTCCTCCGCCCCTGCAGCCCCAGCATAGCCACAGCCACCTGGGCGGGGAGGCTGCTCCCTTCCTCCCTCGAAGTCCCGGAACGCTTTAACCAAGAGGTGATAGAGGCGTGGGCGCTGGTGTCCGGAGGGCGGGCCGGGGACCGCCCCTCGCCTCGCCCCTGGCACCGGGCGGGCGGTGACTCGGCCTCCGGGCCGGACAGCGCCCGCACCCCAGGAAGGCATGCGCCCCTCTTGGGGCTGGAGCGCTGGGTCCCCAGCACCCAGAGGTGCCCCAGACCGGCTGGCTCCTCCCCCGGGACTCTGCCTCTGGGCGCGTCATCCTTCCCATCCCTGGCCGACCCCGGCGCCCGTGCCACGCTGGGACGAGTCGGGGGCACCGCCGGGAGCCAGGAGCCGGGCGCCCACGACCTGTGCAGCGCCCGCGGCCCATGGAGCTGCGCGCCGGCAACGCCAGCTGCGAGAACGGTGCGTGCCGACCTGGGGCTCCAGCCTGTACCTTCCTTCCTCCTCCCTTGCCCCCTTTCCCATCCTACTCCCTGGCTCAGTCCTCAGACGGGTCTAGAAGATCAGCTGGGGGACTTGGGAACAGACAGAGGAGGGAAAAGGGACATGGGGAGTAGGTGGCATCCCTGACCAGAAGGGGCAGCCTGGGAAGTGGGGACCCAGGCCCAGGGAGTAGTCATTGATGATTTTAGTACCTGCCCAGGTGTGGCTGGCTGTTACCCAGGCTGGGAGTGGGGATGGGGGTGAACACAGGAATTCACCATCGCAGAACCCCCATACGCACTGCAAACTAGGGGCAAAGACCATGGGGTGCTTGGTGAGCTCTTAGTACAAAGCAAACTGCGGGTCTCACCTGCAGCCCCTCCCCGAAGTCACGCAGCTACTCTAACAGGTGGGTGAAGTCATGATTGTACTAATCCCATGCTAGAGATGAGGAAGCCAGGGTCCTGGAGGGGTGAGTAGCTGGCTCCAGGCAATTCTTGGGGGCTTTGGGGTCTAGCACAGTCTGCACTGCCGTGCTTAGCTGAGTTTTTCAAGTCTCCCTTCCCCCCCTGGCCTTGGTTGAATGACAACCTGTGGGCTATGGTGCTTTCTCTTGCTTCTCCAGGGAAGTACCCCGAGCTGGCTGCTTGGTGCTGGGTGACTGGGTTTCCTGAGCCATCTTCAGCCTGCCCTCTATCCCTGTGTTATATCCTGGGCCTGAGAATATCCTGGGAGGGAGGCAGGAGGCTTCTGCCCAGACCCCTGTCATGAGAGATGTGGCACAGTGGAGGGTGCTGGACTCACGGCTGTGCCAGCCTCCCAAAGAGCCTCACAGTGAGGCCTCTGGCTTCATCTGCTAGCGAGGTGCCTTCAGGGAGCAAGGGAGGGGTGTGGGAAGAAGCCTGGCCTTGCCTGGCCCAGCGTCCCGCAGGCCCTGGGAGACTCCCCGGATCCAGCACTTGGGCAAGGAGCTGGGAGCTGGAGGAGTGGGAGTGAGCAATGCAGAACCAGTCTGGTTAGGGACATGGGTGACAGCATCTCGTCTCATCTTCCCTCGATTGTGACACAGCTGTCGGGAAGATGGGTCTTCCATGCAAAAGCTACCTGGATGCGCCGCGTGGGTTCCAGACCCGCATCTACCACTCGGTGTTTCTGTGACTCAGGCAGGTCCTTTACCTTCCCAGGGACTCAATTTCTCCAGCTGAAAGTAGGAGAGCTAGACTGCCTGACTGCTTTTTTTTTTTTTTTTTTTTTTGTCTTTATGAGACAGGGTCTCGCTATGCAGTTCAGGCTGGCCTTGAGCTCACTTATAGCCCAGGCTGACCATAAACACACATCAGTCCTCCTGCCTCAGCCTCCCAAGCACTATGATTACAGCCATGCACCACCACGCCCCAGTTGGCTGACTGGTTTTTAAGGGCTCTTTCAGCTGTTTCTCTGTGACTGTATGGCATGGAAGAAAGGCCAATATTGCTCTTACTCTGTTCTACCAACACGCCACTCTGCAGCAGAGCAGGCTGGCCTGGGCCTCAGGGGCTCTTCTGGGCCCTGCCTTGGTCTGAGAGGTCTCGGTCCAGGCCTACAGGCTTGGCACTGGAGCCTGGGCCTTGGTGACACACAGCTTTAGAGTGCCTTCCGCCTCCTGCAGTCACAGATCCAAATGCCTACAGAAGACAAACCATAACACAGATGACTGAAGTGCCTCAGGGGAGCTGCAGAGAACAGGTCCTGACTAAGGAGCATCCCCTGGTAGCTTCAGTCCCTGGCTGCCTTACAGAGTGGCTCTCCCAGGGAGGACATAGACCTTCTGCTTTGGAAGTATGGCTTCAAATGTGAATTTTCACGGATGTGCTCACGATTGTTAATGTTGGTAACAGACTCATATTCTAATGGGCCTCTTAGGAGGCCAGATGGTGCTTCTAGTCCCCTTGCTGCCTGCTTATTGGACAGTATGGTGCTTGTGAGCAAGGGGCTGTGGCATCTAAAGACTTGGGCTCTAATTCTGGCTTCCCCACTTATTCACCATCCAGCTTTAGGAAGGTTACTGAATTGAGTTTCTTCTTTCTTTCTTTCTTTCTTCCTTTCTTTCTTTCTTTCTTCTTTCTTTCTTTCTTTCTTTCTTTCTTCTTTCTGTATTTGGTTGTTGTAGGGTCTCACTATGCAGCTCTGACTCATAGTGATCCTCCTGTTTTCAGCCTCCCCAGCACTGGGATTACAGGCATGCATCACCATGCCCAGACTCTGGCTGCCCTGGGGGTGGGGCTGGCACAGCATGTGGTGCCTGGGATCGAACCACAGTCCTTGCATTTGCCTAAGCAGGTACTGTAGTCCACTGAGCTATCTCACCAGCCCCATGAATTCAGTTTCTTCTGCTAAAGACCTGGAAAGGACCATTGAGTCTGTTTCATAGAGTGGTTGTTACGAATCCTCATGGAAAACTCTAGAGTCATGTGTGTGGCAGCACTGGAGGATGCTTGGTTATTTTTTGTGCTCAGTTATTTGCCGAAGGTCTGCCTCTGGTGCCTGGGCTCATCCTTACTGGAGCTGGTGTTGGTGCCAGAAAGGGAGGCCAGGTGGGTTTGATGTGGGCCATGAGGGCAGACTCAGGACTTAGAATGCAAGCTGTGGATGAAGTCTGCATGGGGTAGTGGGCAGCCGGTTGTTCTCTGTGACCCAAAGGAGGTTCCAGTCAGCGATCACGAACACCAAAGGGCTCAGAAGCAAGACCTGAGAATAGTCAGTTCCCACAAGTGGAGGCTCACTCTTCAGCCACCCCGAGGCCTACGTGGGGCTGTGGAATGTCTAGCCTCACCCTCAAAGGCTGCCTCACCCTCTAGGGCTGCCTCTGACCAGCCTTCTATTTGCTTTAAGCTGAGGGAGGTGGACATAAGGAAATCTCTGGGTGGGACCATGAGACAACAGGGCCCATGTGCCCCTGGGCTGAGAGCAAATTCCTGCAGAGGACAGGGGCTTGGAGTGTGTGGGGACCCTCACTGGTGCATATGGCATCAGTGCCACATTCTGGAGCCCCGAAATCAGATAATGTGTGCTCCCTCAAGCAGGTACCTGACCTCTCATTACTGCCTTTCCCACAGCCAGGATTTGAGGATTAGAGACACTACTTCCTTGACGGGTGGTTGTAATCTAGGACAAGTTTGTACAAATGAAGCTCTTGGCCAGAGATGTCCAAGTGAATGTTAACATTACTGTTAGGTTGGGGCCCACTGCAGTCATGGAAGCATGGGGTCAGAAGGAGTGGCCAGCGCCAACATTTGCAAGGCATCCATAGATCCGCAGCTTGACTCTCACCATGGTTCCTCTTCCAGGTTCCCTGATCAGCCTCTACTGCTCTTCCCAAGAAGTCCTGTGTCAGATCGTGAGTGGCCTTAGCCCTGAGGTGCCCAAGAATGTCACCTTGGACAGCTGGAAGGAAAGAATCAGGAAGAACTATGGTTTCTACATCGGCTTGGGCCTGGCCTTCCTGTCCTGCTTTCTTATCGGCAGCAGCGTCATCCTCAAGAAGAAAGGCCTCATTAGACTTGTGGCTAGTGGGGCCACTCGCGCTGGTAGGCTCCCTGGGGAACATAGGGGCAGGCAGTGCACGGGTTGGCAGGGCCTGACCCAACTTCCCCCAGAGGGGCCCGGGATGCAGTCCAGTGTATGGCCTCAGGAAGGCACGAAAGACTCTGTCACCTTGCTGAGAATCCCACCTGCCAAAGCGAAACCGTCTCTACAGTCAGATTTCCTGAGAGCTTCATGACATGTGTACTGGGGTACAAATGGGGAAAAGCCTCAGGTCTGAAAACCAGAGCCTTCTGGGTTAGTTCTGGTTTTACTTCTCATGGTAGCACAGATGCGTCTGCCACAGCAGCCCCAGGCCCTCCGGAGCCTGCTCGTTCTTGTCCATTTGAGCTTCTTTGCAGGCTCCATTGGTTACTCGGTCCACAGGGACTCACTTGTCTAGAAAATAGGGTATGCATGTATGAAGCAGTTCTTGTTCAGGTGTAAAAGAATTTGTTCATGGAACTGTCCTTTATCTTGTGCCAGCAGTGGGCCACGTATGATGCTAGATAGAGGCAGTGTGGTCCTCACAGAGCACCTGGTCAAGGGGGAGATAACACAGAGGAGAGGGCGAGGTCCAGGGTTGTTCTCCAGGCATAGGAGCAGCATGTGCAAAGGCTCACAGGGAAGAGGACGTGTGTGATGGTGGAAAGTGAATGCGGATCGGCTTGGCTGGAGCCCAGGGTGGGGCAAGGTACAGGGACGGCCAGCTCTGCACGGTCTTCTCAGCACACTGTGGAGCTGGCATGAAGTGTCAAGCAAGGGAGTGTCTTTAGGCCGAGAAAGGACACAGTCTGACTTAGGGTCTGAGAGATTCCCTGGGTCCTGTGTGAAGACTGGAGGAGGCACAGCATTGATGTGTGGGGAACGCAGTAGGTGAGCCAGAGGATGGGATGGCACTGCGGCAAGCGGTGGATTCCAAAGATGGCCATGAGAGGTGGGACGTCCTCACTCTGATGGAGACTGGCTATGAGGGGAGGGTGGAAAGGAGTTAGGGCTGACTCAGGCTTCTGACTTGAGCAGTGAGGGAGGGAATGATGCTGCCTCCTGAGGTGGAGAATGCTGAGAGGAACAGGTTTTGGGATGAGGGTGCATGCAAGTTTGGACGTGTGCATCAAGTGTCTCTGTGGGACAGCACAGCACAGAAAGAGCTGGAAGGCTTTGACTCCAGCATCTCGACTCCTGCTGGCAGAAGCCACACTAGAAAAGTGTTTTGTTTTGTTTTTTTCCCCTCATGTCTCAATTTGCTCATCTATAAAACAGGAATAAAAACAATAGGAACCTTAAGAGTTATAGGAGACACGTACAGATTGAATGTCTAGAATGCCCAGGAGCAGACGTGCTTAAGATTTCAGACCTTTTCAGATTTTGGAAGAGAGAGAAAGAGAGAGAGAGAGAGAGAGAGAGAGAGAGAGAGAGAGAGAGAGAGAGAAACAGAGAGACAGAGACAGAGACAGACAGACAGACATTTTACGGGATGGGACCCAATTCTAAACATCAAATCCACGGTGTTTTCTATACAGTTACACATATAGCCAAGAGGTACTTTTCTGTCACGTGTTTAATGATTTTGGTCATGAATGAAATGCCAGGGTATGGAACCAGCAACCAGTGTCAGGTCGGCACTCAGAAGGTTTGGGTTTTGCAGCATTTTGGATCAAGGATGCTCAGTCTTAACCTGTCTAGAAAGGTGCTTGGCATGGAGCAAGCACTGGATGTGCAGGGTGTCACTCGAGCAGAGGCTGGCAGAGCCCTCTTGCACCGGGGCCGTGACCACTGGAGGCGAGGGAGGGCATTGGCAGCAGCGGTCATCGCAGATCTGTGCTTCACTTGTGAGCAAATGAAGAGGCCTGAGGCCTGTCACCGTGTGTCTGCTGCTGCTCGGGGGGCGGGGGGGGGGGAGCAGATCTGTCACTGACCGCTTACAAAGACTTCCTGCCAGAACCCATCTTTACCTCCAATCTATCATTACAGTAACTTCTGTGATTTCAACTCTCAGTGTAAAATATTGTCAGAGTTCTTAACCTTTTAGGGGTCACTCAGGCCATTAGGAATCTGGTGCAAGTGAAAGGTCTTCTAAAAAGCATTCACAAAAAGCAGCATCTGCTGTTTTGACTTTCACAGAACTATCTCCAGCCCACCCCTCATCATTATCACTAATATCAGTCAGTACCGAGTGTGTTCTAGGTTCTCTACAAAACAGACACGATCCCTGACTTTGTGGCATTCCCACTGTAGTGCAAGAAATGCCAATAACTGAAATTATAAATGATAATTGCTGTGAAAGAGACAGGCTGGGGTTATGGGAGAGGAGGAAAATAATATGTGGTCAGAGCCTCTTGGGGAAGCAGCATCCTAACCAGACCCGTAGAATGTGGGTGCATTTGGGCAAACCTTAGAAGGAAGAACATTCTGGGTATGAGGGAGAGCATGTACAGAGGCCCAGAGGCACAAGAGATCTTCTTGTTTCTGAAGAACTAAAAGAAAGGCAAAGGTGGCAGGAAGAGCTTTGGAGAGGTGAGGAAGGCCACAGCTGTGCATGGATTTGCGAAGGATTCTGGTCTTCAGAGCAATCAGAGGCCTTTGGCCAGCAATAACCTGGGGGGTGGCAACATACAATTTACATTTTTAAAAGACAACTGGCTCCCATGAAAAGAAGGAATTATTAGAGGGACAAGACCAGAACCAGAATAACCGCTCATGAAGCCATTGCCTCAGCCTGGACGCCAGAAGACAGGGCATTTGAGTAGGTGAATCCAAAGGTGTGGACAGGTATGCGATGCCCTTTGGAGACAGCACACGCAGGATGGACTGTTTGTAGAAGAACAGGGAGAGAAAAGGGTCAAGAGCAATTGCCTTGTTTCTGGCTGTAGCAACTAAGTACATGGAGGTGCCATGCTGAGCTCCATTCGGCAGGTCCATTCAAGATCAAGGGTTCCATTTAGGGCAGATTTCAAGATTTCTGAGATATTCAAGAGATATCAAGTAAGTGGTGAGATTTACCTCTGGGCTCAGGAGAAAAGTCCAAGCCAAGGTAGGAAAGTGGGGCATCGAACAGAGATTAGACTCAAACCTACCGGGGAGAGGGCCAAGAGCCAAGTCTCAGGGAACACTTAGAGGTCCAGAAGTGAAGCAATTAGGAAAGGAGCCCGAGGAAGAGTGGCCCCATTCTAACGCTCTGTCAATTCCACCCCACAGTGGAAGGAGGCTTCGGCTACCTGAAGGACACGATGTGGTGGGCTGGATTTCTCACCAGTAAGTAGGTTCTTTTGCCATGAATTACAGTGGGCTGTCCCTGGCAGGGATGGAGATGAAGGGAGAAGAGGGTGAAGCATTTCTCTTTCTAATATAGGAAGTGTAGGTCCAAGACCAGATTCCTAAGGAAAAAAAACTTGGCAACCTTGACACCATGTTCTTATCTCAGATCACATGCTCAGCCCTAAGGTGGTCTTCATCCATGGAACACCTACCCAAAAGGAGGTTGTGCAGAGCTGACAGTGACATAGGAGTGTTTTTATAACACTCTGAAATATAGGGCAATGACATCATTGCCTCTCGGCAGGGGGGACCCACGGACTTCTACATGGTAGATTCTGGAACCCGAAGGCAGTCAGGGCCCAGGAGAGTTGATTGGTTGGCCCACTTTGACAGCTCATCTGCCACTTACACTTTTCTTAGATTTGCACACTCACATGTTTCTTCTACTCTCCCCTTCCCCTTGCTGGCTGGCCACACTCTTAGGTGAAAACTTTCCCCTGATAGCCCCGACGCCAGGGTTGACCCTTGCCCTCGGTAGAGCTGTCTCAGTGATCATCTCCTTCCAAGGACTGCTATTATTTTCCAGCAAAGAGAAGCAGAAGTCAATGTCATGCGACTTACGCTTACCTCTTTAAAATGGGAGGATTGGGTCAGGATACCCTGGGGCTGGCCTTCTGATCAGATGGTCCCGGGAGGGAGCCAGGGATCAGTATTTTAGGGAATACCAGTCTGGGATTCTGGGATGGTGGAACACTGACTGAAGCAGCCTCTGCCCAGATTCCCCTGGAGTGGAGATGCTGCGGGGCAGGAGTTGCGGCAGCCATTTTTCTTCCTTTACTTTCTAGTGTCTGCTGGAGAAGTTGCCAACTTCGGAGCCTATGCGTTTACACCTGCGACAGTCGTCACGCCCCTGGGAGCACTGAGCATCCTCATAAGGTTCTCGTCCCCTCTCTCACCATCTCTGGCTCTTTTCTCTTTTCAGTTTGTTGAGGCCTGGAATACTCAAGTGGGGTTAACTGCCATGTGGCGTTAGGCACCAAGATCGATGCCAGCCCCTAGGAAGAGGTACTCGGCTGTTCAAAGCTCTAAATCCTTAGACTATTTGTGACACTGGATCTAGTATCCTGCTGATAAGTAGGTCACAGAGGGGCAGGCCAAGACTGAACGAACTGAAAGGGCTCCTGCTGCCACTGGGCTGCATGTCTCATGAGAATATTTTGGGGTCTCAATAGGAGAAGCATGCAAATTAAAAGCATGAGCCCAGATTCACAGTGGAGTTCTATTTCTTACCTGGATGTTTAGTAGTAGTTATGATATCAAGGGCAAGCCACTTAACCACTCCAGCCCTCAGGTTCTCTGTCTGCAAAATGGAGATCTGCTAATACCTGACTCAGGTTGCTGTTTCATGGACTGAATGGGCTAGTGCACAGAAGGTGTTTAGGACAGAGCCAGCACCCACGCATAACCGTGGCCGAGGGCCTACTGTGTGCTGAAACTAAACGTGCCCTGTGGGCAGGCTCAGTAACCTCACAGCACACTGACCTGAGGCCAGGACAGCTTAAACAACTTGGCCACGGCATGTAGGTTCCAAGTGGCCAGGCCACGTAGTCTGATACCAGAGCCCAGGTGCTTATCACTGTCCCCACGGGCTCTCCAAGAAGTGCTCAACTAATGATTAATATTCTTTCTTTCTTTCTTTTCTTCTTTCTTTCTTTCTTTTTGGGACTAGATTTCACTGTACAGTTAACTTGCATAGTGAAACTCATTTTATAACCCAGGCTGGCCTTGAACTCACAGTGATCTTCCTGCCTCAGTCTCCCAAGGTCTAGGACAATAGGCATGCACCTCCACACTCGACTCCAATTAATAGTTTTTAGAATAACTGATTCCAGGGCTGGCAGCCCAGTGGCACAGCGCTGGCCTAGCACACACGAGGTGCCATGTGCCGTCTCAAGCACTGCGGTTAGTTAACTAAATGTGGGTGCCTTTGTTGCCCTCAGCCCTCCTGAGCTAAACACTTAGAGCCAGCTCCTCTGTGGGGTCCTAGAGCCCCATGCATAGGGAGATCTGGTTTTGGAGCTAACCTTGGCACTCTGGTGAATCCCAGCCAACCACACCCGCACATTCATCACTCCCTCAGTTTATTTGCTATCTTGACAGCTTTGCAATATTTACATGGAACACAAGTAGAAGCATGACTCACGCTGTACAACTGGCCTAGCTGATTTCACGCTGATGCAGCTGTGAAGTCAGGGTTGCTTATCTGATAAGTGTGCAAATTCCCTGTTGCAGATAGTTGGGAGAGGCCCGGGATCCACCACTGTGTGATCCCTGCCTGTGAAAATGCCATCAGAGCCTCTTAAACAGGCACCAGGGTAAAACATTTGTAGCATTTTGAAAGGAAGACAGGAGATAGAGAAGAGAGTTGAGATCTTGGTGTCCCTATCACAGTGCCTTACACCAGGAGTTTTTTGAGGCCACCTGGGTTCAAGGTCAGCCAACAGATTGTACCCTAAACTAGTTCCACCTTTGTGAAGAAAAAGAAGGGTGCCCCAGGGGTCATGCCCAGCCTGCCTGTTCTCTTTCCTTCCTTCCTTCACCTTTATGGGTTCATCTAGAGGGTGCAAGAAGGGCAGAGATCACCAAAGAGCACCAAGGCGCTGGGGGTCGTGTGCCTACCATGTGATAATTTTGGGAGGTCACAAGGGTTGTTTCGTTATGGGTAATGGGAAAGGCGTTGGCTTTATACTGAAACTGAACTTGAGCCCAAACCTGGCTTCCAATGCTTGCTACTCTCACAACCTTGTCACTTCAATTTCTGTGAGACTCAGTTTTCACATCTATAAAATAGGAACACTGAATTCTACTTCACAGAGAGCTGAAAGAGGTTAGTGAGATCATATGTGCAGTTTTGGGAGTAGGGAACATGCACCCCAGGCATAGCAGCTATAGCTGTCTTAGAGGTTGTTAATATTGACATGTCCAAGGGGAAGAATAGGTTTGTTCTGAATGACTCAAGAGGAAGAGAGACATGGAACAGAAAGAGAATTCAAGTGAGCTTACAATAGGCTCATTTGGCTTCCTAAAAGGTGCATTCTTGTTATCAAAGAAAGATATCTACCAGAAATACCAGAAGGAAAATGTTCAGGGGTAGAGGTTAGAGGAGAACAGTTTGAGGGGTTCCTCCAACCCTTCAGGTTGGGGATGCTTTCAGCGTCAAAGAAGCCCATTGGAAGCATACACTGTAACTAACTCTCCTAGAAACGTTTGTGTTTCAGATGCTGGGGGAGGTAGGGAGGAAGCTTTCACAGGAAGAGTAGCAAGTCTGCCCCTCTATTCTCTGTGAGTGCCCACTCAGCCCCCATGGCCTGGCAAGACGCCACCAGGCAGAGCTGTCCTGACGGCTTTCTCCTGTCCTCCACACAGTGCCGTGATGTCCTCCTATTTCCTGGGGGAGAGTCTCAATCTTCTCGGGAAGTTGGGCTGCGCCATCTGTGTGGCCGGCAGCACAGTGATGGTGGTACATGCCCCTAAAGAAGAAGAGGTCACCACTGTCACAGAGCTGGCTTCCAAGATGAAAGACACAGGTAGGCTTCGTGCAGCATGGGGAGAAGGAAACTCTGGGTCCCTGCTGAAAGCCTGGCTGGTTCCGACCATCACCTATGCTTCCCCTGGAGGACAAAGCAAGCTAAAGAACGGAAGTCAGAGGCTGCTGCCTTAGCAGGCTACTTCAGGGGCCTCCTGCCTGAGGCACAGAAACACCTCCTTTCCTCAGCCTGTTCCAGGATCTGTCCTCAAGGCTTTCTCTCATGAGCCTCACAAAACAGCCCTACATAGTTCGTGCTGTTGGCCCCTCTTTTACAAATGAGGGAACTGAGGTCTTTAGTGTTCAGTAACTTACTCAGGTCATTTAAAGGTGTGAGGCTGGGGCCGGGACCTGAGTTTGCGCCAAAATAGAGCTGCTTCCCCTCCATGTGGTACTGGGCTCTAGATGCTGACCACACCCTTCCCAGGTGGCATGATCTGTGTCCCTCCTTCCCTTCCCACAGGGTTCATCGTCTTTGCTGTCTTTTTGGTGGTGTCCTGCCTCATTCTCATCTTCATTGTCGCCCCTCGTTACGGACAAAGGAACATCCTCATTTACATTGTCATCTGCTCTGTGATTGGGTCCTTCTCTGTGATCGCTGTCAAGGGCTTGGGCATCACCATTAGGAACTTCTTTCAGGGGTTGCCGGTTGTGCGGCACCCCCTGCCCTATGTCCTGTCCCTCACCCTGGCACTTAGCCTCAGCACTCAGGTCAACTTCCTCAATAAGGCACTGGACATTTTTAATACTTCTGTTGTGTTCCCTATCTACTATGTGTTCTTTACCACAATGGTGGTTGCCAACTCCATCGTCTTATTCAAGGAGTGGCACAACATGACCGCGGTGGACATTGTAGGCACCCTGTCTGGCTTTGTCACCATCATGTTGGCTGTGTTCATGCTTCATGCTTTCAAAGACTTGGATATCAGCAAGACCAACTTGCCCCACATGCACAAAACCCCCACCCCATCTCCCGCCCCAGAGCCCACTGTCATCAGACTGGAAGACAAGAACATCCTTGTGGACAATATAGAACTTGCCAATACCCCATCACCAGAAAAGAAGCCCAGAAGCACAGTCCCTTCATAAAGCAGGGAATACACACACAAGAGGATGATCCTGATGGTGCAGTCTGAACTGTCAACTTCAGAACCACTTGGCTGTTTGAGCACAACCATGGCCCAGGAGCTGAGTTTTATTGAGATTTTGATTTATACCTCATTTCTGTGCTGAGGAGAAAAAATTCTCTACCCAATACGTGGTGGTCACAGCATGTTCTGGAAACAGCCTCAGTGACTAACTTTACACTGGGGCCAGCAGGTACCCGGACCTCTCTTCCCACTGCTTCCTTCTGCACCATCTGCATGTTGAGATGAGGATGGCGTATGACCTGGTGAATGTAGCACAGTCCAAGTACCCTGAGATACTGGTCATTGGGAAATTCTCTGTACCGATTCTCCTCCTGAGACCAAACCTCTGTTCCTTAGCCCAGTAATGCAATAGAGTTGGCTCCCGGAAGTCCAGAGCAGTTTAGTAGCCTCCTTGTCCAGAGCTGACGGGTGCACAAGCAATGCAAAACCTCCTGATGCTTTTGCCATTTACTGTTGGAGATAGAAACAATACCCCAGCTGACTTCTCACTGTGAAAGCCACCTGCTCTCTCAGGGAAAAGTTTCACCTGGCCCTAGAGGCTTGGCCAGTGGGACAGCAATGAATCTCAGGGACTGAGTAGGGTGCAGGCTTGGCATAACCTGCCTTGTGGCTGTTGACCAGATTGGTCAGAAGCCCAAGTTCCACCAGGGAGCTGCCAACATGGAAGCAGCACCCCATGCCTGACCCAGCACCACCTGCTGCGGGGGTCGTCTTTGTTCCCTCAATGTGACCAGAGGCATCCACAGAACAAGAGCAGCTGGGGAGATGTAATTGTAACCCCTTCCCCTTTTCTAGCTGAAGACCATGAAGGAAATGAGGGCCACTGGAAAGGGAAGAGAGCCTTGCAGAGTCCCTGCCTGCATGCTGCGCTCACACCTCGTGCCCCCGTGCGGTCCGGTCCCCACCTCCCCTGCTGACTAGGGAGTTCCAAAGTCTGTGGGCCCAATTCCACTCCCTGCACCTCCAGCCTCGGGTGCTGTTTTGAATGAATGTGATTTCCCTCCATGGCTGGTATCAGTGCACTGCCTCAGATCTCAAAAAGGGCAGTAAACCGAGAGCCCTGAGAGTGTGGCCTACAGGATGAATAATGCAAGCTTCCAACTAGGTTTGGTTGACTCAACATTCCATGAGCATGGAGCAACTGAATTTGTTCCTCTGGATCTGGGAAACCAGTCCTCAGTCTCTGGAAGCTGAGTGGCCAAGGAAATCTTTCCAGCATCTTCTGCAGCAGTGCTGTCACTTAGAGTGGGACAGTTTTGTTTTTAGAACACAGCACTGAAGGCAGCTTTCTCCTAGTTAACTTCCAAGTCCTTGCCAGGCACCAAGAATAGTAGGTGTCACTTTAACACTTCTCAGATTCCCATTTTTTATTCCTAATTTACATATGCAGAAAGGGACTCAGGTTAAATAATTGGCCAGGGTTACACAACCAGGAGGAGATGAAATGGATATCTGGTCCAAGCCCAGTCTACAACCACCAGGCATAGTGTGTCTCTCCAAAAGACTATATTTGACTCCTATACATAATCTCATACTACTTTATTTTTTTGTGATCTATGCTGTCTCTTCATCTGAATGTAAACTCCACAAAAGCTTGTCTTGATTTACTGCTTGCCCTTGGTACCTGGAACACAGTTAGCATTCAAAAAACAAACAAACAAACAAACAAAATCTGTTGATTTTTAATGAAGGAATGATTCCATTCTAAACGGGCTTCTTTTGTCCAAGCTTATTTGGGGACTAGTTGTTTTTGTTTTTTAATATGGTCTCACTATGCAGCTCAGACTCATAGTGATCCTCCTACTCAGCCTCCCCAGTGCTGGGATTACAGGCATGCACCACCACACCCGGTTCTGGGTCCTGCACAGCATGCAGTACTGGGGATTGAACTCAGGTCCTCATGCTTGCCAGGCAGGCACTTAGACCAGTGAGCTATCTCCCCAGCGCTTGGTGGCCAGTCTTGTTTTGTTTTGCAGTACTGGTGACCGAGCCCAGAGCCTTCCCACTGAGCTGTATCCCCAGCTCACTGTTCATTTATACTGAAACAGGGTCTTACTGAGTCACTATGTTGCACAGTTCGAGCTCAACCTGGCTATCCTCCTGGCCTCCTGGGGGGCTGGTATTGCAGGCCTGTTCCACCACACTCTGCTGGGGACCAGCCTTTAACCCAAGGCACATCCTAGCTTAACCCTGGCTTGTTAAACAGTGCATTTGAAAACTTGCTGCAGTCTCTGAGTTCAGTGCTGTTGAGTAAGTGTTTGATGATTATGGCCTTTTGAGAAGGTATTTATGTTAGCGTTCTATCACCATAACAAATACTGGGACAATCTGAGTATAAATAGAGAGGACTTATTTTGGCTTATAGTGTTGGAGATTCCAGTTTATGATCAGCTGGCCCTAATACTATGTGCCTACAGGGAGCGAACACCAGACAAAGAAAAATGAGTCACCTCCTTCCCAGGAAGGGAGAGAGAAAATGAGGCTGGGCCTCTCAGCCCCCTTGGGGTACACCCTCTGTGGTGGTCCCATATCCCCACCTGTTGACTTACCTCTAGCAACAGCACCTCCCTGGAGAAGAGACCCGGAATTCTAGACTATCTATGCTCATGCATGTCATAAGTGGCAGAGGTACTACCAGTGCGGACACAGGGGCTGCTGGGCAGAGGGGTCTCGGTGGGAGCTGATTTCCTAGGTGGGCACATCAGTGCTGAAAGCATTTGTGTTTCAGTGAGTGTCCTCATGCAAATTTAGTACCATGAGAGTCTAGAAAAGTACCATTAGGTGTCAAGGACTCCGTGCCGGGACTTCTGTGACAATGAAATGATAGCATCCACATCAAGAAAAGCGGCAACATCTCACATGTGTAGTGCTCAGGAAGAGGTGCTTCTGCTCATGGCTCCAGGTACCCCTCTCTTAAAGGACCTCAGAATGAGGCAGGGATTCAGTGAGAATCAAGGTAGATCTGGCATAAGCTTCATTCGCTGCCATACAGGTCTCTGGAACCAGTCAGAGTGTGTGTGTAGTCTGCACTTAGCTACACCTGCCCAGCGAGCCCCAGAGGGCTTGAGCGACTCTCTCCCCTGAATCATCATTAGCAGGAAGATGAGCAAGCAGAGGGTTGGTGCTGTCTTCTAGATACAGTAGTGGGGCAGGAGAAAAGACAGATGAGAAAATCTTAGTACCATTCAGGCCTCTAATGATAGAAGACCCAATTACACTAGACCAGCATCTGTCTGGACAGCAGAACAAGCAGCCCCCTCTACTGGCCACAGGAAAATGGAGCTTCCTGGTGGCTCCACACCAAGGCTGGTCCTTTGAGAACTTCGTTATTTTACGTCTCGGATCATATCTGGCTCAAACAGTGGGATAGGAAAACAAGCACACAGAAAGAAGTTGCCAAACGGAGTAACATTTCAAATAACAAACAATTAATTTTAATTAAATACAAACAAAGAAAAAAAAAGGCACCATGGCCCATTCAAGTATTTTGCATAGATGTACAAATATTTGTAAACAATAGATGGGCAGGAGAGAAGAGGATCGGCAATCCATAAATGATCTCTCAAATAAAAAGAAAATTCACATTGCCCTGAATCTCAGATGCGTACACAAAGTAGGGGGCACAAGAAGATGCTAGGGGTGACTGGGGGCAGGGCGCTGAGTCTGCAGAGCCTCTCCTAGTGAGCTTCTCTAGGGACGGGACACCTTTCCAGTCGGCCGTGCTCTGGCCTGCTCAGGTGTACAGCAGAGGTGTTACGCATGCGTTGAACACAATTACTGATTTTAGAACTGGTTCTCAGTTCTTAGAAGTCTTCCACATCTTCTGTCACATAAGAACACATTAGGTTGGACCGAAGGGGAGACTGTATAAGAAAGGAGTACTGCAAGCAGTCAGGGGATACTGCGCTGAGAGGGACTGTTGTAATGCAGAAAATATCAAGACCATAAACTCTGGAGAGCACCGCCTTCACCATAAAAGTCAACGAGGCTGAGAGGCATCTGGGGCGAGCCAGCAGCTACAGCACAGAGCCAGGGGCCCGGGGTAAACCTCCCACAGAGGCAGGCAGGGCTCTCTCTCCCTGAGGTTTACATTTCAGAGATGGCTTTAGGCCCCTAAAAAACATTCCAGTGTTGTAAACCTGGCAGGAAGACCCAATTGGTGTCTAAAAAGATTTACATCCTTCTCCTTGAGATAACTCAACAGATCAGACCTCAGTCGAGCTTCCCTCCTTCCCACTGGAAGGCAGACAGGAGCTGTGGTCAGCCTGAGCCAAAAGCGTCTTTTCACACAGAGCCCCTTTCCCTGCACAGAAAGGCTGGGCACACAGCTCCAGCTTGGAAACCGCATGAATTCCTTCCAATAAAAGAAAAGGCCTTCTCTCCCTGGTCTCCAGGATGCATGCAGGGTCAGAGAGGGGTCTACATGGCTTCCTTGTCGCACTTGCACCCCTTTCCCTTACGAATTCTTGTTCCCCTTCTTGCAATAGTCCCTGGAATAAAGTCCCTGTCCCTTGACGTCACCATACTTTGTGTCTGCATTTGACATCTTACAGCAGCCCACTGGCAGAGAAGGAGAAGAGGGATGCAGAATGGCCTCACTTCCTCCCTGGCGGCCTCCCTGGCCTGCAGAAGAACAGCGTCCAGCTCCCCCAGCAGAGCCAGCTGTAAAATGGTAACTAGGGCTGGCTGCCGTCACAAGCAAAGAATTCTACCATCTTCCAGTTCACAGTATGACTTCGTGGGGTGGAGGTGGCATTCAAATAACGAAGAAATAAAAAGCAAGAGAACAGCAAGCAGGACACTTCCTCTTACAGTTCTGGGGACAGTGGATTTCAGGCTTAAAAGGCTCATGCAGTCGCCACAGCTGGGTACTTTCCCATCCGAGCCACTGCTCCTGATGTGAGGGAGGGAAGCTGCACTGGCCACAGGGACTGCTAGGAGGGACAGGGCTGGGATCAGGGACAGTTTCCTTGTTTGAAGGGAAGGGGAGGCAGAGGACATCCCTTCTGGGACCCACCATGGAGGCACAGAGCATTTGCTATAGACTTAAAGGAAAGGTTATCTCCTGGCAGCGAGAAGGAGGGGATTGCGTGGGGTCACGGGGGTCTGTGCCAGGGAGGCAGGACCCCAACATCGCTACCACCCTGAGAGAAGAAACCCATTTTCCTGAGATCTTTCTAAACCCACCCCACATTTTCCCTCAGACACATGTCCCATAAATCCCATGGTCTACAAACCCAAGAACCTCAGCTCAGCATGTGGGACGCGCAGAGAGCTACACATAAGGAGGCCCTGGGGTTGGGGGTCAGAAGCTCAGCCTTCTTCCGTATTGAGGTTCTCAAGAGCAAACAACTGCTCCTGTGAGGGGTGGGAAGGGCCCTGGAAGAGCTGCAAAGGAGTGTTAGGTCAGCCCACTCGAGCAGAGCCACCCAGCACCTCTGGGGTAGGGCTGGTCTAAGATCATCCTCAGCTACCTTGTAAAACTCATCCTACCCAGCAGCATACCACATACCCTCCCTCGGGGCTCCAGGAAGGACAGGACCCTCTGGAGCAAAAGGACACAGATAACAGTAACCTTGTTAGGAACAAATGGCTGGGTCCCTGGCCCAGGCTATGCCACCATAGCTCTAATGGCTGCCACCTACAGAGGTCTCTGATGGCTCCTTGGTTAGAAACACCTCTCCTCTCTCCTCAGAGGACAACAGTCCTACTCTGAATAGTGGGCAAGCCATGAGGAACAAGCAGGCTCCCTGGTGTGTACTTTCTTAAACAGCTGGGCTCCCAAGGATGTCTGTTCCCTTTATTGCCTGGGCTGCCAATCCTGGAGGAGCTCACTGAGATGCGGGTCAGGGAGAAGGAGGAAGGCTCTCACCCTGCTGAGGTCACAGAACACAACAAGCACAAAGATTCAACTCCCACAGCCATGCTCTAAGTCCACTCTGCTCAACATTCTTGGGATCCAGAGGAGCAAATTGAATTGTCACTCCATGAAGTGGGACCCTGACTCGCAGGTCACAAGCACCTGGTCCCTAAAAAGGCAGGACGGTTGAGGGGCCACTCACCAAAGCACCAATGCATTACTGTGGGCTTGGGGGGTGGGGCGGAATGGAATCTCTGGGGAAGAAGGACGAGAACACAAAGAGCAAACCAAGAATCACCGAGAGTCTTTACCTTTGGCGTGATGGCTCAGAGGAGGTCCGGGCTTGGTGCTCCCCTGCTGTCTACGCTGCCTACAGATAGTACCTGTCTGAGTCAGAGTGACCCATGAATGGGGGCTGTTGGGTCCTAGGGGGTGCGGGATGGGGCTTGGGTTGGCACATGCAGCCTTAGAGTCTGGAGCAGCCACGCCAGCCAAACCCTGGGTAGGGCCACCACGATGGCCAGCTTGACCCTTCCTTAATCCCTAAAAGCTAAAAGGGCAAGGTAAGGCCCGGCTTCAGTCCAGCAGGGGCCTCAGAGGGAGACAGAAGCAACAGGATCTCCCCTGTGTGCCTGCACCACAGGGCCTGCACGGACAGCTTCTCCAAGCTTGGCCCTGGCTGAGGGCTTGCGCAGGGCTTCTCCCATTGGTTTTCCAGCTGTGATGGTCTTGGCCATCTCATCATACCTTAGGCAGGGAGGGTGGGTGGAGCAGCTGCCGCTTGGCCCCTTCTGTGTGCTCCCTCCCTGCCGGGCTGTATATTGCACAGACCAACACTTCAGAGCCATCAGGTAACTGTCCCTCTGGGCCTCCGAGGAGCGTGCAGAGGCACTGAATCAAGAAGGGAATGGTGGGGATTTGGTGTTTCCAGGAAAAGGCCAGGAGAAGCTCAGAGGCAGCCGGAGGTGCTTCTTCTGGTTCCCATGGTGATCACAAATCCTTGGGGCATCCAGAGTCGTCGAGGCGTGAGAAAGCTCCAGATGGGTCTAGATTCTGGAGCTAGTCATCATCCCAGTCCTCTGCGACCTGTAGTTAGGAAACTGGAGAGAGAGAGGAGGGAAAAAGACAACAGCCTGACACCATGGTCTGGGGCCAGTGAGAACTGTCCTCTCGCATTTGCCAGCTGGGAAGGGCAGACAGAGGCGGGCCCGGAGAGTGGCTTCCTGGTCCGGCAGAGATCTGTAGAGGTGGCTGTCCCCTGGGACCACAACTTTGCCGAGAAGTATAGTCCCCCTCGAGCGGACGCTTCACCTCCTTGCATCTTCTAGAGGCCTTCGGGGCACTTCTTCATCGCATCCCTTCCTGATCCCACTCCCAGGCCTGGGAAGCTAGGGACACCCCAGCCACAGGGAAGGGCAGCAGCCCCGCAGACCTGCTGCAGCCCAGGTGGGGATCTGATCTTTGTGGCCACTATGAGATCCAGGCTACCGCTGCTTGTTGCATGCATTTTACAGACAAAGAAATGGAGATGCTAGAGAGGGACTTGCTTGGGTCTCAGCTGTGAGGGTCAGGTGTGAGTTTAAAGCAGCGTAAGGGGCACCTTCCACAAGAAGCCTACACACCCTATTACTAACTTAAGGGACAATCGAGAAGGTATCAAACATTGCCAAGCTTTTGTTTGTGGCACTTGTCCCGACAAGAAGCACCAACTGGGGCACTGCTCTGGATTTTCCTGGGCTCACCTTCCGGGCAGGTGCGACCAGAGGCTGGGTCTGCAGCGCATCCGGCCTGGGGAGGATCCTCCGGCCGGGCACAGGGTTCGCTGGTAGTGCCTTCTGCGGTGGCCGAGGCCTGGAGAAGTCCTGTAGGGAAAGCAGGGGACCTCACGTGAAGGCCAGAGGAGCTTGCTCTAAAGCAAACATTCCTGGCAGCTTACTGATCACAATCAGATGGGGGAAGAAAGTATACACCATAAGGCCCCACTTCACCAGGAGCGGGGTGTGTATGTGTGTGTGTGTGTGTGTGTGTGTGTGTGTGTGTAAGCATGCACACATTGCGTGTTTCTACACTCAGAAAAAAGCTTCTGTGGAGAGCATGTGGACAGCATCTATTACAATTAGAAATGATCCTCCTCAGGTTGGAAAAGGCATCCCCACTGCCCCCGTTAGAGAACTACTGGCACAGGCGTCCGGAAGGGAAGTTTCGGACTGGACTCTCCCACGCTGTGTTTATGACACAACAAAGAAAGTACGAATCAGCAACATTTCACTGATAGACAAAATAGGTAAAATTCTGAAGTGATAATACCTTAGGTAGGATTTAAGCAGAATAAGGGAGGCTGAGGCAGGCTGATGGCAAGAGACACGTACAGGCCACGGAGATGCCCATTTTTGGAGCGGGCCCTTGAATTTTGGAGGCCTGAAATTTTTTAATTCTTTATGTGTTCCAGATAGAAATCCTTCGTCTGAGGAATGCTGGGCTATACTTTTTCCCCCCAATTTGTGGGTTTTCTTTTTACTCTGCTGGTGCTTTCTTTTACCCCAAAGAGTAAATAAAATCTGAAAGGCACAGTAGATACTGTGAAAGGGAAAGAATCTGTTCAGTGGGAAGGAAAAATGGGTGAGGAAAAGGATAAAGGAAAGAAGGGAAGTGACATGCTCATGGATATACGCAGGATAGTGTGGATAACTACTGCCGATTTCCGTAGGTCTGCAGAAAAGAGCAGTTAATGCTTAAATTAAAAACAATTCTTCTTTTTAATTTCTTATAACTTTTCCCTTTCCCCCCAGTTTTGCAGGTTTATATCTGGTAACCTAAACAATTAATTTGAAGATAACATTATGCAGTACAACAACCATTGTGAAATTCT